AAAAGAAAAAACATCCGTGACTCTGTAGAGGTTTCTATGATTTTGACAAGTACTTTTTCAGATTGACTTTTGATAATTGCACGTCAGTTTTTTTTTTTTCTTTTCTTTTTCTTTCTTTCTTGTAATTTGTAATAATTTGTTTAATTTATCAATTAAGATTGAGCTTTTAAAGTAAGATATTTAGTTGTAAGAAAAAACGTTTAAAAAGATTCTTTGCATTTAATCAGTTTTCTGCCTGTTCAGTGAGTTGAATATGTAGTCTCGGGCTTGCCTTTCAATTCTGTATGCATTTTTGCACAAAGGCAGCTAGTTTTTGTGTGTGTGTGTGCTCTTTAAGAAGCAGTATTTTTTGGTAGTGACTGACGAAGACGGGGAGATTTAGATTGCAACAATTTACATTTGAATGTAGACCTATTGATGAAAACGAATCTTGAGTTGCGTACGTAGTACTTCGATCATGCATGTGACACCACCGATGCTTCAAGAAAGAATCCTTAAGTCGTAAAGAACAAATGCAGATTGCGATGTTTTGCCGTGTTAGAACCGTTGTAGAATTGATTAGAATTAACTAGAAAACTGACAATAAGAGATATGCTCAAAAGTTGTCAACTTCGTTGGAAAACATTTGATTTACGATTTCGTGCATTTTGGGGATACCAAAAACACCGCAAAAATGTGAATTGATTGTTCCAAATGATGAATTAGAGAGAAATATAAGCTGGTGTACTCCAGACAATCGCTAAAAATAGAATACTGAATCTAAATAAAGGATTCAAAATAGTTTTCCTTCAACCAACTGATTTCGAAGTTGGTTCAGCCTTTGTTAAATGAAACGAAATTGCTGATCTTTTTTTCGTATATTACTCATTCTAATTATAAGTCAAACTCTTGTACTTCATGCGAAAATCCGAGTTATCGCCCTACAAAATATTAAGATTGACCTACCATTTTCTCACTTATTTAAAAAGTACGAACTGTGAACAATACAAGTCTAGAATTTACTGCATGGTGTCCGGCTTGTGCGCACTTGAATGGATTGAATCTTGAATTTGCGGTGACTATTTCATTCAACTATTTCTATAAAACATACATAGGTGTGTTAAGCAGACCGTGCTGTTTACATTGCTATTCATTAAGTGATTATAAGGGAATTAGGTAAATAATTAGAGAGTGTTTAGCCACGCTTTTAATGCAATTGTTTTTGGCTCAAACTAAAAAAAATCGTGGTTTGTGAATAGACGATAGAGGAATTTAACAGACAGGATGAATCACGTTGGTGTTTTCTGTCTGTACGAAAAAACCCTTGAAGTGCTCACTTGATTTAGAAGACCACGTGTTTTTACGCACGGCACGTGGTTTTGTACATGCCAATTTTGCAGACCCAAGCTTTTCCTTCACCAAGTAATGTTTTCATAAAATGAAAATGCTTTGAAATTTTGTTCCTCAATTAACTCAGAAATGAAAAGAAAAGCTAAAACGTTTAATATCTCGTCTTGCTATGAGTACGTCCTCGCGTTTGAATGTCGATGTTTAGGCTCTTCGCTCAGCAGCTCAGTGATCTTGAACGCTATTAAATTATCAAATTTAATTATAGTTTATTAAAAACTACGTATTTACCTAAGTAATACGGAGCTGTAGCTTTCGGTCAAATCTTAGAGCAATACAAAGAGCTTTAAATCAGGAAATTCCACTTCAAAAATATTTAGTTTTGAAAAAAATATAAAATTGAACATTTAACTAAAATGTAACCGAGCAAAAATATTTTCCACCTTGTTCGATCGTAGACAGCTGCTTTAGTCTTGTCTTGTTTGGTCTTTGCCTTTTTTCTTTTGTGTCTGTCTGACGAGCTAGACGCCATTAGCTCAGACTGTATGGCTGAAAAAGAGAAGGTCTTCACTGTCGCCTACTAAAACAAAAGCTAGTAATAAATGATAAAGCAGAAGTGTGCCAAAATGTAATGCTCTCAGAACAATAGCTATCTCGTCTTAATTCTACTGCATCGCAACATAAACTTTGCTCTATCTTCCAACTTACGAGAGAACATTGTAAAATTTTATCAAAATCTTATAAATGAGTCGAAGAAAACCCCATATATTTGAGTTATTTTTGCCTTGAATTTGGTAGAGCAGCGTACGCTCTTTATTTCGTCTTCGATACGTACATGTTGTTGTAACAATCAAGGCTGTAGTTTACTAACAGTTTTGATCCCTTGTTTCATTGTCTTTCGAATTATCCAGACACTATTGTGATTGTAATAAGGTTGGCAGGGTATTTATTTATGAAACTGAGACCGACTTAGCCACTTCAGTCCACACATTCTCGATTCCGAAGTCAAGAGTCACTATCTACCTGGATATATTTTATCGAGAAGCATGTTTCCTTTAATCTCGGTGCTGTGGTTCGTGTGCTTAAGCTCAACATCTGGTGATACGTTTATGGGAAAGCTTTTTTCTAAAGGATCAAATGGTAAGACCACAATTCTTCCTATAGCTATTTTGGTAGCAAATTTCTATTTGAGACAAATTTCATTCCCTAAATTATTCCCATTCCTTAAAGTTTTACGGTTTTGTCCGCGCCGAGCGTTTCTGCCAGATATATCTCTGACACAGCTGTTTGCTTTTGCAAATGAGAAGTTACGATTTTAATTAATTGAACATCCTTAATGATTTATATCTCGCCTTGTTCATAGGGTGTCTAGAGTTTAATTCATGTTTTTCTATATGATAACATGCCTTAGACTATATTTAGGCGCACTGTCAGTTTAAGGTTCGATTTATATACTTGAGATTGACGTGCTTAAAGAAAAGGCTGAAGTAGTAACTCATTTTTTGTCTTCAAATTGTTGTTTGAATTTTACAGGTTCACCCACTTCGCTTACTAACAGCGCAATAGCGATGTGGATGCAGCGAAGTGGCTTAGCAAGACGAGTCTGTCAGAGGGGGATATCAGTACATACGTACGACTCTAGTAAGTAGGATTAGATATTTATCTTTTTTTTATCCATTTGGCATCAGTTTTTCATTATCTTTAATACTATTATATGTTTTTGTGTCAGGCGTTTCTGCAAGAAGTGCGTCAGTTGTGACAGGACAATGTGAAATCCAGTTTATAAAGTCAAGTGCTGGAGTTCCTCTGAGCCCAGATCAAAAGGTACGTAATAGTGTCGTTATCACACTTATATTTACATAAGTAAGGATTGGACTCATGAGAACGTTATTACGCCATCAATGGACCCTTCTCAAAAGTATCTTAAATGCCAGGCTAACATGGAAATAGAAAAGTGATCGCAAATTCCAACGAGAACAAGTGTTTACTTTTGTATTTTCATGTTCCTCGCATCCAAGATAAATGTGAGAAGGGTGCGGTCCATTAGAATCGATCAATCGCATTTTGATCAAACGTTGCTTTGCTGACTTGCGCAGTAACTGACGGCATGGTGTATGCGGTCGACTGGGAATTTGGGTCGACTTTAGACTTCAACATTTGAATGAAATGTCGCAATTTCGGATTTTGAGACTTAACATGCAAAATTCAATGAACATTCTGACCCAAATTGATGATCAGTATTCTTTTTGATTAATTTAAACTGTTGCATTTTATTCACAGCCATGCCCTGGCATGCAAGCCTGCGTTCCTACCATGTCAGAGATTATCAACCTCAGAACCACCAATGGCATCAGTGACGTCACGAGTGCAATCAACTGCGCGTGCGCACCGAAGATTTCAGGTTGCCATCGTCGAAGAAGACTACGTGTTTTCTACCGAAATACAAAATTCGAACGAGTAGTTGACGTCGGGGAATGTGCGGGAAACTGTGGACAGAATAGATGCCAACCGCTGGCCATAAAAACCGTCGCCATCAAGAGTCCAAATGGTTAGTAAACGACTGAGCTGAAGTCGTAATCGAACCTATTTGCTGGTTTTATTTTTCGTTTGTTTGTTTATTTGTTTGTTTGTTTGTTTTCTTTCTCTTTTTTTTGTTTTTGTTTTGTTTTGTTTTGTTTTTGTTGCCATTATGGTCCTTTCTGGAATACGATTTTTTGTGTTATGTTTAATTCATATCGGTCCATTGTTCGTCTCCAATGTCACTTGTAGTCAAGAATAATACTCTAGCAATGAAAGATTACATAAATGGGCATGAGCTTTAAAATTCTTTTTAGTCATAGAGATTTTTTTCTACCGGCTGAGATATTACTAAAAGCTTTATTAAGGCCCCAAAGGAGAGCCCTGTGGCACGCCAGTATAATTAAATGCAGGACATTAGAATTGAAATCAAATTTGATCTAAAAGTATGTCTATGTTTTTGATAATCAGGTCGCAAAAGTGTTGAGGTTGTTGAGAAGTGTGGATGTGCACATTCGTGCTACAGAATCTCGTACAAAAAGGCTTACCAAGTGTTGACAAAGAAACAAAAGAGTAACGCAACGGAAACTAAGGTAAGTCACGCATAACGCAAAGCGGAATTCGTAGTAACAAATAGTAGATAGGCTAGAGCTATGTTATTTCTTGTTCAAAATGAATTGAAAAGTTAAACATTATCAATAAGAAGTGTCATAATAGGACATTGATCGATTCGAGGCACAGTTTTGCACTATCTGATATTCTAAGATTACACTAAGATTACCGAGGGACAACAAATATACCTTTGCATGATGAAAAATATTTTTAGCTGAGAATCAAGCAACATGACCCTGCAACATGTTGATGTCGTTGTTGTTGTTGGTGGTGGTGGTGGAGGTTGTAGTGTTAATCTATATATGGTAACTTTTTCTCAGGTTATTGATATCGGCACCTGTTCAAGCTCATCAGTTTGCACCGGCCACGTACAAGGAAAATGTTTGTACTGGTAAGTCCTATCATTTTTACAAATCCTGGTTACATCAGTGATTGGCAAGCAAAACTTTAGCAATATATTTAATTTCATTTAGGCTGGAAAAAAGAGCGCCAGCATGCGCAAACCTTGCTTAACAGATAGATAATATTAATACGTAAATTTTAGTCAACTATAATATGTTAATTTTCCCCCTCATCTCTATTCAGGGCCAAACCAGTTGTCACAAGCCAACAAACCTCGCCATTCTCAGTCTCTAGTTCATCCGAGAAAGTTTGCCTACTGCGCACAAAGGGTAGACCACGTGGGTGTTACGCTGAAAAGACCCGAGTTATAACACTAAACACGCTGCAAGAGCCCAATATGAAAGTAACTGTTATCGACTCCTGCACATGCTCATGAGGAAGCACACGTTGTCTAACAACGAGCTCTGGAATGTAATATCTAGTTTGTTGAAAAACTACGACGAAAATAACGACTCAAATCATAGTTATTTTGTGGGTTTGTCTTTTCTTTTCCTTTCCTTTTTTTTCTTTTCTGTTTAATTTATGGTAAAATATATATTAACTAAAAAATATTCACCTAGAGATCACTAAAAAATGCTTATAAAGACTTCAGTAGAATGTAAATATTTCACAAGTCGTATTAAGATAAATAAATAAATTGAAAGACTAAAAACTTAACTGTAGTAGTGTGACGCTCATAAAAATGTGTATTGAAAAAATGCCGTCTGAGTCGAGTTACTTGATTTGAATCCATATTAGTTTATCGACTCGCTGGTTTTGTTGTTCATTTGTCACGTATTTTTAGAATCGATAATTTATTCTCTCTTTTTTTTTTTTTTTTT